ACCTCTGTGCAGGAGGGAGAATGAAGGGGAACTTTCGACTATCGTACCATTAACAATTTATTATAGATTAGTTAAGGTAATTGAATAGGTAGATAGGATTATTTTTATTAAGCAATTTAAGATGCAGGCACCGCTAAGCTTTCTAATGAGAATTTTCTCTTTCTCCATTCCACGGGCTGTGTTTCAACAACAATCTCGAGGAGGACTGGCACCAGTTTTGGAGGACAACGCAGGAAACGGAAGGCACTCATCATTTTGCCTTTGTCGAATGGACGACGGTAAGTTTTTTTAACATTTTACTCTCTTTATTATTTTCAAATATTATTTATTTGCCATTATTTACATTTTATAATTTTTTGCTTCTAAGATTCTAACATTCATTTACTACTAAGCTAATAAAAATAACTTGTCTACAGACTGATGAGAGGTGGGCAGTGGTGGGCGTCAGCACGTTTCAGATGGTGGTCTCATGATGATCGTTCCGATGACAACTCGAAGAAAACAACGACGATTTTTGAAGTATGGTTTAGTTTCGTTGTTTTTATTTTTTTCATTCATTCATTTTGTCACACAATCTTTCATTCATCCATTAATTGACTCATTCTATTCATTCATTGAATCATAGATTGGTTAATTCATTCAATTACTCAATCATTCGCTCAATCATTTATTCGTTTGTTCTTTCGTTTTAACATTCATTTACTACTAAGCCAATAAAAAAATTTGTCTACAGAATGATCAGAGGTGGGTTGTGATGGGAGTCAGCACGTTTCATGATGGTAATCTTATGGTAAGATAAGTTGCTTCTTACTTTTTTTCAATGGCTTGTTTTTTATTTAAAAAAATTAACTTTTTCTTTCAATTTTGTTTTTCAGTATCCGGTAAAATTCATTTCCTCGGTGCGTGTCAGATGATGGTCGGTGCAATGGAGGTTTTTCTGCGGTCTTTTTCTGAGGTTTTCCACTTCTTCACCCACTACGTCCGTAGTGGGTGAAGAAGTTTCTGGAGGGTACGCGCGCGCACATTTACATACACGCGCGCACATAAATACAACACACACATACACAACATCCATTCATTCGGTGTCGTTGTTGTTATGTTTCTCTTCAACTTTCTATTTTCTTTACCGGACTTAATTTAATTCATAGGTAAGTTAGGGATTGAGATGAGTTGAGCAACTGTAGGTAGGCTAGGGCTTAACATTAGTTAAAAAGTTTCAAGTAAATTATTAACATTAACATAAATTAAGAGCTTCAAGTAAAATTAAAACGTTAAAATATGTAAAATAAATGAGTTGAGTTATCATTACAGGTAAGCTAGGGCCCTGAGAGTAATTTAATTGTAGGTAGGTGACCGACTACTATTCTTGCGACTTTTTAATATTTTTTTGTGTGTTTGTTTTCGCTTCTTAGCACCACACAACACCAACAAAACAAACTACAATTTTTTTTGTCGTCGCCTTAAATTTTACCATTTTTGAACAATCTTTTTAATAATGTCTATTTATTTATTTGTAAAATGTTGACTGGTTTCTAGTTTCTTATTTTGGTTATATAATTTTTGGATATTTCCTGATTTACTTTGTATATATGCATGCATGAATAATTTCTGTTTGGTATGTTGATTTAGTCATTATGATATGCTGTGAACTGTCCTTACTAAATATTCATGTTTCGTGATAATTATTTTTTATCGAACGATATTTTGTTATTTGTTTGTTTAAAATCTGAACTTTTTAAAAAATTTACATTTAACAAATTTTAATTTTTCGTCGCTTTTCATCTTTTGATGATATCAAATAAAAGCAACTGTTGTGTTTTTCTTTTCTTACTAAAATCTCGAATACAAACATGTACACATAAAGAGACACACATACATACAAACATACATACATACATACACGCATACATACATACTGCCATCATATATACGCAGTACGATAAACATTCATGTCATTTCTGTCAATGTATTTTAAGTATCTTATACTGTTAATCTTGTTAACTATGATGACGATCATCATCATCATCATCACAACCATCATCAACGGACAACAATAACAACAATATAATAACAATTACAACAACAACAACAAAATAAAAATAGTTGTTCTCATTATGCATTTCAAAAGCTTGCATTCTTCTTTTAATACAACCGTTATATATATATATATATATATATATATATATATATATGTGTGTGTGTGTGTGTGTGTGTGAGTTTGTTTGTGTGTGCGTGTGCGTGTATGTGTATTGTATATTTTTATCTATTTATTGAAACGTTATTTTTTACGCATACCCCTTGTCTCATTCTCTCTCTCTCTCTCTCTCTCTCTCTCTCTCTCTCTCTCTCTCTCTCTCTTACTTTATATATATATATACATATATATATACATATATGACTGGCTGGCTGGCTGGCTGACCGACCGACCGACCGACTGACTGATTGTTTGATTTTTTGATTGATTTATCTCATAGTATTGTATACATGAGAAAAAATCCGATTAAGCCAACCTACGGCTTCAGTAAGTTACTGTTTTTCACCTGACAAAAGCAATTTCTATATTTATATTGACAAAAATAATTGTGATATGAATATATTGATTTATTTAAAGCATTATATGTACAAAAAAGTGCTATCGTAAGAGTTCTATGAAACCCTGTAAGCCACTGCTGTAAGCCAACGTATGATTTCAGCAGCCAGTTTCTTATGAGCACCAGCAGAACGTAAAATATTCATTGAATATAATGAAGATAGTTGTTCAAATAACAATTTTAATTTATTTAGACCGTTTATTTCATAAGCAAACCAATTTGTAACATGATCGAATAGTGTAAAAAAAAGGGTGACTATAGTTCAATCCTACTAAGCCAACCTTCGGCTTCAGTAAGCCACCGGATTTCACCGGACCAAAAGCAATTTTTTTATTCAAATTAACAAAAATAATTTAATAATGCATAATTCTATTAATCATTATTAAAATTAAATAGAATTACTACAATGTTTTAAGCATATTAAATCAAGTAAATATCTCATTTACTTGCTCGTTAAAATCCATGCAATTTCGTAAGCCAACAATCCAAGCACGACAAATAGCCCGACCGATAGATCGAATTGATCGATTAGTCCTATTCTAGTTATGTGGTTTGGAGCAAGGTGAGACATTACTGAAAATAATTAAAAGTTGAAAAAATTGAGGTTCTTTGCATATCTCTGCTTCAACCCATAAGAAGGTGTTGTATGCACTCCCCTTGACAAAAACTAATATTGTGGCTCAGCGTGTTTTTTTAGAACATTATTATGCTTTATAATAAATTTGTAAGTCGATAAGTTTTGAGCGTCAGGTATGACATATAGACTAAACTTGTGACAGCCTGTTTTTTTAGAAAATTTATTATTTTTTATAATAAATTTGAAAGTCGATATGTTTTGAGCGTCAGATATGACACGATAAAAATAAACTCGGGACAGCGTGTTTTTTTTTGGAAATTTATTGTAAGGCGTCGGTAATTCGATAATGTTTGAACGTCAGCTATGAAAGTAATGTTAAAAACTAAACTTGTGACTGCTTGTTTTTAGGAAATTTATTATGATTTATAATCAATTTGTTAGTCGATCAAGTTTGAAGCGCAGAAATAGCACAAAAACTGAACTTGTTAGGCCTACTTTGCCCGTTTCCCAACTAATTTATTATAAGGCGTCAGAAAGTCGATAAGTTTGAGCGTCAATTATGATACAAAAATCAAACATGTGACAGCATATTTCTTTAAGGAATTCATTATAAGGAGTCAGAATGTTTGAATGATAAGGTTTGAACGTTATAAGTTTTGTGCGTCAAATATGACAAAAAACGTTGAATGGTGAAAAATATTTTCCGTGATACTGCGTCCAATGGTACCTTTTAGTTTTTCGGGTTTATAAAACCCAGAAGATTGCTTTTTCGGTGGCTGATATATTTTTAGAAGGGTGATTTAATTCTTCGTATGTGGTTGAAATATTTTTTTGTGGCCGCAATTCTTAATGGTGAAAAAATGTTTTCGCGTTAAGATGCGCAATTAAATTTTTCGAGTTTTGAACAATGGAAGTCTGTTTTTTCAGTGGCTGGTATATTTTTAGAGGTAATTTTATTTTACATAAGTGGTAGAAATATTTTTAATTAATTTTTCTATGTTCACCTTACTGTTTCTTTCTAATTATTGTTTCATAGTTAACACAATCATTATTTATACATACGTTACTGAAATATATTGCATACATTTCAATAACCAGTTTTTGTAGATGCACAATTTCTAGTAACACCTACCATACATTAACCAGATAGTTCTCTCTCTTCCCACGACTTCTATATAGGTCGGTTCACGGTACAAGGAGCCGAGTTCAGTCCTACAATATCATGTATAATTTATTTTTTCTATATATTTTATATTGGAATTTTTTTAAATTTGTGAATCCAGACTTCCAGAAGAATGAAAAGATTGAGGTTTTATGAAAAGATTCCGATTTTAGATTTTTAGATTTTATTGGGATTCATTACAGATTAGCATTAGGATTAGGGTGTTAGGCCGATTAATTAGATATTAGAATAGATTATCATATATAGTTGATTAGTGTTTTCTGTATTGTAAGTGCAGTCAATTAGTATCTTTAATAATTTCATTTCGTATGACATGAAAATGAAACTAACAAAGAAATATGTTGATGATTTGGCGTGGAGTTCTCTAATTTACCCAAAAGATGAATTTGATCTGGCTCTGACACTTCGAAGTGGCCAATCTTTTAGGTTCTTTTTTAAACAAATTTTAATTTACTCATATCATTTTTAACATATATATATATAATATAAATATATATTAATACATCTATGATATAGTGTATATATATATATATATATATATATGTATATATATATATGTTTTGTATGTAATATAAGTATGTAAATGAATGATAATATAAATATAATACTGATGATAATGACATAGTGATGGTAATTTAATAACTCTAGATGGCTAAAATATGATGATGGTAGTACTACTACTACTACTGATACTGCTGATCAATGGATTGGTGTTGTAGAAAATGATGTCTGGATCCTCAGACAAAATAGGGGTGTACTTCAGTACAAAATTATCAATGACAACAACATTAACAACTACATCATCAACAACAAATTTGACAACATCAGTAACAATGACAGTCCCATCCATAAAAATCCTAATATGGCCAGCTCCGACAGTTCTCAGGACTCTAAAATCAGGAATTATTTCCATCTAGATCTTTCTCTCCTGGAGTTACATAAACAGTTTACTGAAAAAGGTAAAAAAATAGTTGTATTTATTTGTATGTTTGTTTGTATGCATGTATGCATATGACTAAGTGCTTGTTTTTGTGTGTGTGTGGGGGGGGCATATATGTAGATAATATTTTTTTTAATTCAAAGATAAAGACTTCTTAACAAGATTTCCTAGCTCAAAAAGCGTTAGGCTACTTAGGCAAAACCCAGTAGAAGTTTTGTTTTCTTTCATATGCTCCACTAACAACAATATCAGGAGAATCTGCAACATGGTAGAATGCATGTGTCGGCTGTTTGGGGCTGTTATTGTCCAGGTTGTATGTATGTGTGTTTACCAATAATTTTTGCGACTGAATGGGTTCTTAAACCTTGTATTAACGTGATGTTGTTCTTACCTATTGGCCGCGACACCTCAATTTGAGTTTCTTGGTTACAATAATTGAGTTGTGTTATCTTAAGCCTTATTTGGCAGGCTACTGACGAGTCTCGTGAGAAACGAAACGTACGTCTGGCCTATGGCGGATAATAGTTTGCCAATAATTATATGTATTTGTGTACAATTTTTATTTGTATATGTTTTTGTGGGCTTGTATGTATGTGTGTATGTTTATATGTATGTTTGTATGTACGTTTGTTTGTGGGATTATATATATGTTTGTATGTATTTGTGCATGTTTGTTTGCCAGTAAATTTTGCTCATCTGATCTCAAGCAAGCACCTTTTGACGCTGTTTTTTTTTTGTTGAATTCATATGCTAGATATTCAGGCGCCAATCCATTTAGCGACATGAACATAATTAGACAAATTTTAAGCCTTATCCTTTTTTGATCGGTAACCAGTGAAGGTCTTTCAAAATCGGCTTAACATGATCGAACTTTAATTACCAGTTATTAACTTAGCAGCCCGATTCTGCAATGACGGTGATTTTGATCATTGAAAACACAATTTTTGAATAATGTTAAACTCAAAAATGAACGAAAGCTCTTTTTGAAATACTGCAGATTGATGGGAAGGCTTATCACAAATTTCCAACCGTCAGTAGTTTGGCTGAAACAAGTGTTGAGGCAGAATTAAAAAAATCAGGTAAGTTTTATTTATATTGTAGTTTCGTAATAAAATATATTTATAATAATTATAATGAATGAATGAGTGAGTGAATGAGTGAGTGAATTGAAATAATTATAGTTGGTAATAGTAATTAATAATAATAATAATGTTATTACTTCTGACAGGGTTTGGTTACAGAGCCAAGTTCATCAATGAAACTGCCAAAAAGCTTCTAAAAGAACATGAAAACAATAATAATAACAACGATGATAACAATAATAATAACATTAATAATGTTGATGATAATAATATAGATGATAGTGCTGATGGTCGCTGTGAGAGGTATCTATTTGGTCTTCGGAATGGCAAATATGACGACGCCAAAAAGATATTATTGCAGTATCCAGGCATCGGTCCAAAGGTTTATTATTATTATTATTATTAACTATCATTATCGATTGATGTGATTGGCCAGGGCAAAAATTTAAATTTCCACCAATCAGGTTGCAGACTGCATATGCCTCATGTCTCTCGACCAATTAAACGCCGTCCCCGTTGACACGCACGTTCGCCAGGTGGCGGAGAAGATTTATAATTTCAAAATGGAGGCCAAGTCCCTAACTACAAACTCCTATGATAAGATATGTACGGAATTTATCATGTCATTAGTGTTATTATTGTTGATGCTACTATTATTGTGATTGTTAATATTGTTATTTTATGTCTTCAAATGATAATATAATTAAATAATTAATTAATATTTTATTATTTTAAATGATTATTTCAACTTTAAAATTTTTCTCAAGCCACATTTTTTCAATCACTCTGGGGACGGTATGCCGGATGGGCACAGAGTGTAAGTTAACTTATCAGTAGAACAAGAAGTTTTTTTATAGTTTTATCTGGCATAGTTGTTAAAGTCGCCTGTTTCTGCTTCGCTCTGCCTGGGTTCGAATGCAACAAAAGGAACCCACCCTGTCTGCCACATGATTCGTGTGTGATGCGTCGTTTAGCATGTATTCGTACACGCTGTTTGGGTGTGTGTGTGTGTGTGTTGTTGACTCCTCCGAACTTAGGAAGAGTTTATTTGACCTTTAACCTTTTAATCTTCAGAGTTTTCCCTTTTTTCTGCTTTTTAAAAGTTTATTTAAGTCTTAATTTTGCGATTTTATTCATGGATGGTAGTAAAAAATTTTATGATTTATTAGTAATTGTCAATTTATTCAAACTTGAATTTCTATTCAAAGTAATGAGAATTATTATCGATATATATTCTTATAATAATAATTATAATTATTGTTTCACCTGACTTCAGATCGCATTTTCTGGTCAGTTGAATTTAGATGCTAATACTACAACATCATCTGTAGCACTACTGAAAGTTGCACGCAACAAACGAAAAAGAAAAAAATAAAATTGTTATTATTTTTGTTGTTGTTTATAATAATATGCACTCGAAATACGTAAAGAACGCCTGCACGAGATTGATTTCAATCATATATATTCGCCACGGTACCAAAGTATTCTGCTAAAATCTATAAACTAGAATGGAAAAAGTTTGTAATCAATCGTCATCTTATTTAAACTCTAACTCCTTGTTGCCTGTATCTCAATCTGGTTTCAGACTTGCTCACAGTACTGAAACTTTCTTTACTCAAAAATACATAATGGTATCCTTCTCTCTAATAACATTAGTAATCTCACTCTTCTCGCTCTTGACTTTTCCTCTGCTTTTGATACTGTTAATCATACTATTCTCTTGAGGCTGCTAGATCTTTCTTTTAATATTACTGATTCTTGTCTATCTTGGTTTTCTTCTTATCTCTGTAATCGTTTTTCTTCTGTTGTTCTCAATAATTCTACTTCTAACTCCTCTACTCTTACTTTCGGGGTACCTCAGGGTTCTATCCTTGGCCCTCTTCTATTTATACTCTATACTTCTGAACTACCTCGTATTATTAATAATTTTTCTTTCACTAGTCAACTATATGCTGATATTTCTAACATTTATACTTTTTCTCCATCTAATCTAAACACTCTATTACCATTTCTCTTATTATCTTACCTGATTCTAAAACTCTTGATGTTTCTTTCTCACAAGTTTTGTAGCCTAGGCTTTATCTTTGATTCTAGCGAATTAGTTTTTGAGTTACAACAAAAGGTAGTTTTTATTATTATTGTTGTTTCACGATCTCGACTCAAAACCCATCTGTTTGTAAAATATAAATAATTGCCACTCTTTGTTCGTGATCACAAAAATTTCAAGTCAAACAGATTTCATTGATTGGAACGGTCTTTATTATAACAAAAAAAAACGAACAATAATAATAAATAATAATTACGAAACGGTTTTTATTTGAAAGTATTAAATCATGGGAAGATGATGCTGTTAGTAGTTGAACATTTCTTGGCAGATGCCAACGCCGTGTTCGTCAAACTGATCCTTAGTGACGATGTGATTAGTGAAGTCCGGGGAATTCCCAAGTAAGCACCCACCCTGCCAACTAGCCTGAATAGGGCTGTGAATGAGTGAATTAATGGACGAAGGATCGAGTGAATTAGAGTGTATGCATGAATGGATTAATAAGGGCAAAGATATGTTAACTTTTTTGGAAGGCGAACGAATGAACGAAAGAATGGATTAATGATTGAATAAGTGAGTGAATGGATGAATGAACGATTGAATGAAACAAAATTAGCGAAAACATCCACCTATCGTCGAGTCGAACGTTTATTTCAAAGTGATCAGGAGCCAATGTTCTCAAATCTTTGAAACTGTTTCAATTGATTCAGAAGGGAATTTATTATTATTCTTAATATTTTTAGTAGTAGTAGTAGTAGCAGCAGTAGTAGTAGCAGCAGTAGTAGTAGTAGTAGTAGTAGTAGTAGTAGTAGTAGTAGTAGCAGCAGCAGCAGTAGTAGAAGTAAAGTAGCATTTGCATTAGTAGCAATTAGTGTCAGTGCTGTGCTCTTACAAGTGTCGTTATTGTCGCCGTTCGCATCATTGCGGTGATTCGCTTCAACGACAATAAATAATAATAAATTATATAAATAATTATAATAATGATAATAATAATAAATAATTACTTACACTCTTTCTCTGAATCCGGGCAAGCAAGAATTGCCACCAGTTAATATTATATTTAGGTAGAGAAATGGTTGTAACTCTGAAAACAATATAATAAGAATAATTAATAATAAATGGTAATAATATTTTATAGTAACAATTATAATGAATGGATAACAACAATAACAATGATTGATAGTAAAAGATAATAAATGAAAATTAAAGAAATTTCAAAACGCGCCCACCTTCGGGGCACAGGCCGATGACGTAAGCGATGGCTTCCGGAATTCCCATCTCGTGGATCCCTATGTCGGATGGATGGAAGAGAAGTTCCGGAATGGAGAACCTTTCGTTACAAACCCGAATTATCTTCAATTTGATTGGTTGATTAATTGGTGGGTTGGTTAATTGGTGGGTTGGTTGATTGATGATTTATTGGTTGAATGAAAGATTATATTGTTGGTTAGCAAAATGAGTTGAGAAATGAATGATCAACTGGTTGATAGAATAACTGATAAATTATGCTAATTAAACAACCTGCTCGGATGAATTAATCTCGGTGTCAGGCTCTTTGATATGACCTCTCTTGATATGCGCATAATCAGGCAGTACGTAGTCAAGGGCTATCTTGTTACTGGGGCCTTTCTGCCTGTTCATTAACATAATTTACTCAAGAATAACAAACAATGTATGACAGCAACAATAATAATAATGATAAACGAAGGAAAAGGATAATAATAATAACAATAATAATAACAATAATAATAACAACTTTGCGAGGTTCATATCGGCATAGAAATCCTGGGAGACGAAACATGTGTCCTCTTTCAGCTGGTTTATGACGTGCGTCTCATCCATGACCATCAATTGCCTATCATCATTATCATTATTATTATTATTGTTATTATTATTTTTATTATTAATGTTATTGTTGCTAATAATAGTTTTAAATAGGCTGAAAAAATATTTTAGAGAATTAAAAACGAATAAAAATTTTCTCATTAAAACCGTTGAAAGATGTTTATTTACAGCGTTGACTGACTGCATCTGAGGTTAGAATAATAATAATAATAATAATAATAATAACTGCAGCAATCAAAATAAAAATTAACCTGTAAGATATAACTTCTTTCAAGTGATTGGTCAGAATTTTTCCTCCAATGCTAATTCTGTATGTTTGTGGTGTGTGTTTGCGTGTGTGTCAGTGAATGTATGTGTGTTGTGTGTGTAGTATGCGTGTGTGTGTGTGTTTGTTGTGTGTGTACAAAATATCAAACAAACAAATTCATACAAGCATTAGATTGAATATATAAACACAGATTTAAACAGCAAACACAGATACACACACACATACACACAAACATATACCTCCTCATAGCCATCTTAACAGCCCTACCATTATGATATGGGACTACATGAGTGTACGAGTAGCCTGAATCAACCACCAAACAACAAAATAAATTCTTCTTCTTTCTCTGCTGTTTGTATTGGATTAGGTAGCTAGCTGGCGGTGATAATGATGATAATTATTATTATAATTATAAAATAATAAAAATAACAATAAAATAATAAAAATAACAATATAAATAATAAAAATAATTATGATCAAAAAGGGTGTAACTAACGGTTACAACGAAATAAAAATGGCACTTGGTACTCTTCGAAGAAAATTTCATCAATCGATTCTTGGATGGATTTGAAGTTCAGATAAGACTCTGTAACAATGAAGCCTGACTCTTCAAAGTTTACCTGATTTGTCGAGTGATCGGTTGTTTGGTTGGTAGACTGGTTAGTTGATTGTTTGGTTGATAGGCTGGTTATTTGATTGTTTGGTTGGTAGGCTGGTTAGTTGATTGTTTGGTTGGTAGGCTGGTTAGTTGATTGTTTGGTTGGTAGGCTGGTTATTTGATTGTTTGGTTGGTAGGCTGGTTATTTGATTGTTTGGTTGGTAGGCTGGTTAGTTGATTATTTGGTTGGTAGGCTGGTTAGTTGATTGTTTGGTTGGTAGGCTGGTTATTTGATTGTTTGGTTGGTAGGCTGGTTAGTTGATTGTTTGGTTGGTAGGCTGATTATTTGATTGTTTGGTTGGTAGGCTGGTTAGTTGATTGTTTGGTTGGTAGGCTGGTTAGTTGATTATTTGGTTGGTAGGCTGGTTAGTTGATTGTTTGGTTGGTAGGCTGGTTATTTGATTGTTTGGTTGGTAGGCTGGTTAGTTGATTGTTTGGTTGGTAGGCTGGTTAGTTGATTGTTTGGTTGGTAGGCTGGTTAGTTGATTGTTTGGTTGGTAGGCTGGTTAGTTGATTGTTTGGTTGGTAGGCTGGTTAGTTGATTGTTTGGTTGGTAGGCTGGTTAGTTGATTGTTTGGTTGGTAGGCTGGTTATTTGATTGTTTGGTTGGTAGGCTGGTTAGTTGATTGTTTGGTTGGTAGGCTGGTTATTTGATTGTTTGGTTGGTAGGCTGGTTAGTTGATTGTTTGGTTGGTAGGCTGGTTAGTTGATTATTTGGTTGGTAGGCTGGTTAGTTGATTGTTTGGTTGGTAGGCTGGTTATTTGATTGTTTGGTTGGTAGGCTGGTTAGTTGATTGTTTGGTTGGTAGGCTGGTTAGTTGATTGTTTGGGTGGTAGGCTGGTTAGTTGATTGTTTGGTTGGTAGGCTGGTTAGTTGATTGTTTGGTTGGTAGATTGAATTGTCATTTGAGAAAATGGTTGGTTCATGGTTGGTTCATGGTTGGTTCATGGTTGGTTCATGGTTGGTTCATTGTTTGGATGGTTGATTTATTTATTAAATGATATTTACTTACAGCCAGTTCATTCTTGCCAAACATGTGATCCCAGACTTGCTTCTCTATTTCCCAATTAGTTAGGTAACCCTGGACAGATAAATTTAAAAAATTAAATTAAAAAACAAGTAAAATTAAAAGTAAATTTAAAAAAAAATTTGATTGTAATTATATTATTTGAATTATTTTCACTATCATCACCATTACAATAACTATCATAATCATCACCATCGTCATCCTCATCATACTTTTTGAAAGGCGAGTAAGAAATAGAGGCCAGACAGATCTTTGCATTCGTCGATCTGGTTGCCGATAAAAATTCTGTTCCTAACTGTTTTTGCCTTGATGACACAGTTGGGGATTATTCTGTTTGATTGATGGCCAGTGGGCAGAGTTATGATATATATAAGTTAAGATATTAGTATTAGTTTATCAGATAAACTTTATCTTTTAGTTTTAAATCTTGTATTATCTGATCAATGAAAGTTAATTAAAAAAAATATTTGAACAGTATTTGATATTAATATTATTAATTAAATTAAATTAATTAGAGATATAATTAAATTAAAAGGTTAATCTAATGAATGATTTAATAAAAATAGCAAAAAATGAAAAATAGATAAGAATAAAAAGAAAAGAATAAATCAATAAACTTACTTAGGGTTCATCTCAGAAATGTACCCAACTTTGGCCGTATAAGCTCCGTTGTCCAACATTACGGTAGTCATTTTACTTTAAAATTTAATTTATTTTGGCGTAAAAAATGACTTTAAAAGAATTTTTAATTTAAATTTTTTTAAATAAAAAAGAATTTAGTGATCAAACGCGTGATTTTTAAGGATGATAAAGCTAAGAGAATTTTAGTAATAACAGAATTAACTTTTAAATAAATTAAAAGTAAATTGTTAACAACAAACTATTAAAAATAGTGTGGCGCTTAATTTTAATGAAAATTGTCATATTTCTCATATTAGCGTTTCACTCATAGTTTTTACACTTTGAACACATATAAAACTATCTAAACAATTCATTTAAAACAATGTAATATAAATTATTAAAACATTGAAAATTAATTGACCATCTTATACACGATGGAATAGGATGAACAGCCGAACAATCATATAGATAGATCATCACGGTCAACAACAACATCATGATTATTTGTATTAAAAATATGTTATAAATAATTTTGGACACAGTGAAAGGCAAAATAAATAAACCACCATTTCACACTAATTTAATATATAAACTTGAACATGTGTGTGTGTGTGTGTGTGTGTGTGTACGAAATCTGTAGTATGATTAATTGTATTTAAATAGCAAGTACAGCTACAAGTATCTAAACACTGGCTACAAGTATCAGAGTCATACAGAGACGTACAAAGCCATACACAGTTATATGGAGCCACACACTGAGTCTTATAGAAAGAAAATTAATCCCTTTCCAATGTTCTCATAATGTGAAGAGAATAAATTATAATTAGAATAAAATATAATTGTTAATAAGAAAAAAATGTATCAATGTTAATTTTCAATATTAATATCGGTATTTCCATTTTTACGCCCAAGAGATTGAGCTCTACACGAGTCTAGTAACTAACTACAACAGCTTGATTCAAAATATCAGTCACGTTCCAAAAAATTTGAACTATAGCATACATAGTGGCGTATCATTTGAAAAATTAGGAATAATGATTATTATTATTTAAATGTGTTATATTATAATTGTTTTATTATTATTATCGTTGCAAAATTTACAAATTTCAAGTGATTCAAACTTCAAGTGATGCATAAACAAAACGAACCAGCCCAGATGAATAGGATGGGAATTGTTGGGAGATAAGTCATAAAATACTATATCAACAATAGCAACAACAACAACAACAACAACAACAACAATAATAATAATAATCGGAATAATAACAACAACAATAATAATAATATCAAAAGATATAAATCGTAATTAGATGCAAGGAACTTTATAAAGGACGGAATCTTCATCGTTCTCTCTCCTTACAACGAATTCAAAACATTCGTAACCAGTACAAGCAGCTCCTGAATGAATGAATGAATGATCGAATGAATGAACGAATGAAATAGAATAAATGAATGAATGAATGAACAAAGTAACATTTATATAGCGCAGGCTTGCAATTGAATTTCCACAAACGGAAATGCGCAAGCCAAAAAATAAGGCACGGAAGAGGTGCTTTAGGAACCGGAGAATACCTTACGTAGAAAACAAATGAATAGACTACAATAATGAACCAATAAACTACAGTAGAACTATAAATAGCCCACCAAATTCCCCGCTTATAGAGAGGCCAAGTACAGCCCCTCTAGCTTCTGGATAATGTTTTTTCATTCGCTTCATTACATGCTCCGCTGCCTCTGAAGGTTTCATACCATTGCGCATCAATTCTACCATGTGAAAACTGCTTACGATGATGATGTTGTTGTTGATGGTGATGATGATGACAGTGATGTTGATAACGGTGATGAACATAGTAATGATGATGGAGGTGTTGGTGGTAAAAGAGTTTTTTTTTATAACCATTCACACACCAGCCCAGCCATCAGCAACTGTGGGTCTTATAAAGTATTGAACCAACAAATCAACAAATTAACCTATAACCACTGGCCAATATTAACCACCAATCCATATTAAATAACAAGAAACTAAACCACCCAACCAACCTCCTAACTAACCACACAACTAACCTAGGCAAAAACCTCATTAGGATATCACCATTTCCGGTTGCGCCAGCTCCGCCCACTTCATCGTCGGCGTAGGCCCCAGAACCAGGGATGGGCGAATCTCCAACTCGTCTGCAAATAATAATTTTACAAAATAATAATTTTACTCGTGACAACCCTCATCATTGTCGTTATAATTAATATTTTTATTATTCTAGAAGCAGGAAGAGAAGCCTCAAAATAACTGGCAACTTAACAAACAATCCCCACCAACCAACCCAGGTATCTTATGCTTCAAGCCGTTTGTAGAACATCCAACAGCCACCCTACCAAGCTGGTTCATGGCGATCATCGTGATGGTGTCGTGGCTGTCTGCCAGATTAGCAGCAGCGCGTTTCTGCTGGTCTGCAGGCAGGTTCTAAATGATCATCAGTACAATGGTTAATGAGAGTGTCGATGATAATCACACAAGTAACATCTATAATGCCAGCGCAGATAAGGATGATAGTAAAATAAGATTAATGGTAACAGCAGTAGCAACAACGGCAGCAGTAGTAGTAGCAGTGGCAGTAGCTGTAGTAGCAGCAGCAGCAGCAGTAGTAGAAGTAGTAGTATTAATAATGCTAGAACCTTCCAGAAATTTGGCAGACGGTTTTGTTCATCCTTCCACTTCCTCCACATTTCTAATGACTTTTCCGTCTGTAATGTTTCTCGTTTGAAACCCATCTTTACAGCAAAATCGGTTGCTAGTACCAACAAAACTGTTAAGTATAATATCCTTTAGTACTAATTTTTTTATTATAATTAATTACCCAGTTCTCCAACGAGCAAGGAATGTTCAGTATGCTTAAGAACCATTTTTGCTACCTTTGTGACATCTTTAATTTCCCTCAAGGCACCAACACAACCTACATCTAAAGTCAATCTAATGAAAAAACAAGTGTGTGTGTGTGTTTGTGTCTGTGTGCGTGTAATATATGAATAATTTAGTTAAATTTAAACCAACCCATCCATAACCATGGCATCTAAAGTGGTTTCACCATTTTCGTCTGGACTTCCTCCATAGCCCACAGTCCCTCTTGATTGAATTCGTTCGCTGTAACTGCAACCTTCCACTACTGCCTCTATCGGGTCGTCAGTTGATTTCAATACTCTCCACGCTGTTCAAATAAAGTTTAATATAAATTGATGATTGTACTCTTATTTTTGGTTATTTCAGAGAATCATTTTTTCTTTAATATTTAATTCAAAGTTTTTAAATTTAAAGTTTTCAAGAGGGTTTGTTTAAAATTTAAACATAAACTCTAACAGCTAAAATAAAACTAACAGATGTTTAAAAATAAGATGAAAGTTTAATTACGTTAGTAATTTAATAAAGATTTGTGATTTTAGAAAAACGACATATAAAAATAAAATAAAATAAATGATAATCCATTCCATACTTTTTTAATTTTTAGTTAGAGAAAAAAAATTAGAAATATTGGCCTTCATTAGTTGAGAAAGGTTCGTTCCAAGTAGTGGCAATGATGCTTCTGCCAGAACATTTTGACGCCATTTTTCCAATTTATTTAATTTTTTATTTTATTTTATTTAAAAAAAGAAACTAATTAATTAAGAAACGAAAATAGAAATTTCCACCGAGAAATTTATAAAATGTTTTTTCAATTAAATAACAAGGCGCTTAACTTTATCAGTCTAATTTCTACCCTTAGTATCATTATAGATGATATCCATTGGATATATATAATCCATGATATATCTACAATTATTATCAATTAATATTCTTACAAACGAAATCACTAATGATATATTCTGTATCTTATATGCGAATACGTGTGTAAAATTCACTCAAAATGAAAAAATTCCAATATCACCGTATAACTGAGGTTATATTTCAAAAACTGGTAAAACTATATATATATATATATAACATTTTTTTGAATATGTTGTGTGTGTGTGTGTGTGTGTGTGTGTGTCTGTGTGCACGTGTGTGTTTGTTTCCAAATGATTCAAATATAAATCAAAAACTACTTCTATTAATACTACCCGAAGAAGAACAACATTCATAAAATCCTCTAAACTCCTCCATGCATCCTAATTTACGATCGTCATCATCATCATCATCATCAATATTATCATCATTATCATCATCGCCATCATCATTATCACCATCGTTATTATTATCATTACGACAACTTTTATTGTACTTCTCATCTCTGGTGTCACTATCATCATCGTCATTTCTTTTAACATCACTATTTAAATTAACAACATTATTATTATTATTAATATTATATGTATTGTTATTATTATTGTTATTAACATAAGTTTTATTATTATTATTATAAGTATTATTATTATTATCACCATAATTTCTACGCGCGCCAGCAGCACTGCAGAAGCTTCCACCATTACTAATTCCACCAAAATTCACCCCAAACCCGCAACCCTCCATGCCCTCATCGAGGTCGTCATCATTCTGGCACCCCTCAAGTCTCAGAGAGGTCTTCACCCTTTTGTCCCTCTGTCGCCTGTTACAGAACCAGACTCTGACTACTTCCTTGTCTAGACGGAGCGTCTGGGCCACTTGGAAAATTTCGTAGGAGGTGGGCTTGGGCCGTCTGAAAAAATGGGCTTCAAGGGCATCCTTGGCCCTTAAGCCGATTGTTGTTCGTCGTTTTCGGCGTCTGTCTGTTTGTTTGTTTGTTTGTATGTATGTATGTATGTTTGTTTGTTGTTTGGTTGTGTTTTCGTATTGTTATTATTCTCATCATCGTCGTCGTCGTCGTCATCACCATCATCATCTCACCTAATTTATCATCAGTGATATTCTTCTCAGCATCTTCCAGCCATTGCTTCAAAATTGGCCGCAGCTTGCAAGCGTTTTTGTAGCTGAGCTGGAGGTTCTCGAATCGACAAATTGTCGTTTGGCTAAAAACCGAGCCGTGGATTTTAGCTAAGCTATTTCCTATGAGCGTGCGTGTGTGTGTGTGTGTGTGTGACTGTGCATGTGTTTATTTGAGTGTGTGCATTTGTGTGTGTGTATTTTTATGTGCGTGTGTGTGTATATATATATAAGTTTAAAACAAAACCAAAGCAAGCGGAAATTTGAATAATTACGAATGAGTAAAAATCATTACAAGGCATTACAAATCCTTACAAATCATTACAAATCCTTACAAAATCCTTATAATAATCACTCATTACTTACAAATTAAACTTCGAATTCGTTTACCCACCGACATTAGTCTGAGTAAATCCGAGCCTTATTCGCCGAGTTTTGAAACTAATGGCGAACTTTTCGAGATCTTTGAGTTCGCCCCCAGTGCACGTCACGTGGTCTGCGTTAACCATTTCCGGTGTGTCTAATTGCTCAATGTCTATATCTACGTCATCGTTGTTGTTGTTTTTCTGGATGATGTTGTTGATGTTGTGGATGAAGCTGCTGTTGCTGCTACTGCTGCTGCGATTAAAGTTGTTGTTGCTATTGAAGTAAAGGTAGTTGTTGATGTCACTGAAGTTGTTGTTGTTACTGTAGTTGTTGTTGTAAATATGACCATAAACATCATTATGCATAAATTTGAAATTAGTATTGCAGTCCGTAAAAATGTTGTTGTTGTTGCTGCTGATGATGTTGTTGCTGCTGATGATGATGTTGTTGTTGTTGTTATTGTGGTTATTGCTGTTTATGTTTTTTTTGTTGCTATTAATGTTTTTAAAGTTGTTGTTGTTGTTGTTGTTAACAACGCTAAAATCATCATAGTAATCGCGGTGAAATTGTTTGTTTCTAAATGCGTATATATTATTATCATTATTATCATTATTAATACTGTTGATGTAGTTGTCGTTACTGTTGTTGTTATTATTGCTAGTGTTGTTATTATTTTTATTATTATTGTCGCTGTTGTTGTTGTTGTCATCATCATCATCAATGACTTCAAGATATTTACCATCCTTTACATCATCATCATCGTCTTCGTCGTCGTCATCTTCGTAATTACCATGATGGTGATGTAATGATAATGATGAAGACGATGATGATGATATTGATGATAACGCTTCTAAAACTCTTGGTAGATTTGAAAAGAAGGATGATGATGTAAATGTTCTTCTTGATAATGATGATGATGATGTTAATGTTCTTGATGATGATGATGATGATGATGATGATGACGACGACGATGATGATGATGTTAATGTTCTTGATGATGATGATGATGATGACGATGATGATGATGATGATGACGACGACGATGTTTTGTGTAAAAGTTCATTTATACTACAATTTTCTCTTGGAAAATAATTTGTGTTATTATTATTATTATTATTAGTAGTAGTAGTAGTAGTAGTAGTAATAGTAGTAGTAGTAGTGGAAGAAGTGGTAGTGGTATTAGAAGTAGCAGTAGTGGCGTTTCCGTCCTTACCAATATCACAACGAAAGCAGTGTTTGAAATTCGCACGATGTATATACTTTGATAATAATAAGGGGTTTATTTTAAAGAACCTTTCGTGAAAATAAGAAGACATGTTGTTGTTGTTGTTGTAGTTGTTGTTGTTGTTGTAGTTGTTGATGTTAATATTGCTGCTGTTGATGTTGCAAATGTCATTAATGTTGTTGTTGTTGACGTTTGGGAGTCTTTGAAAATACTTAAAATTTGATGAAATGAATTTAAACTGTTGTTGTTGTTGGTGGTGGTGTTTGTGTTGTTGTTGTTGTTGTTGGTAATGATGATGATGTTGATAAAGATGATGGTAAAAATTTTGATGATGATGATGAAGATGGTGATGATGATGGTGTTGTTGTTGTTGATGATGATTCAAAAAGTGCAATGATGATAACTGATGTTGTTGTTGTTGTTGATGTTGTTGTTGTTGATGTTGTTGTTGTTGATGTTGTTGTTGTTGATGTTGTTGTTGTTGATGTTGTTGTTGTTGATGTAGTAGTATTAGTTGTTGTTTTTGTTGTAACTCATTCATTCTATATAGT